GGACTGCCTTTATTCTGAGCCAATAATTAAAGACTCGAGCGTTTCGGAAAATTAACTAATTTTGCTTCATAATTATTTCATGCTTTTTATTCAACAGCCGGCCCGAAATCTAGAATCATCGACTCTTGGCTCGAACCCTCCAGACGGAAAGTACAAATTCAACGACGCAACTATTGATTCTTCCACTGCAGGCCTGCTACCAAGGCCCGATGGACACTTTATTCGCAAGGGTAATTGTTTATTCACCTGGTCTGCATTTTTAAAAATTCTTTCTACGTCTAGCACTTTCCATTAAGATAAAATAAGTTTGCGAGATTAGTTGCTATATGAGTACAGTCCAGTCTGGATGAGAATACTTTAGGGATGCGAGTCTATGCGAAATTCAACGGATGCATAAAGCCACCTTTTATAATTGCTGGAAAATTCAACTACTGGTCTTTCATCACCTTACGCGAAATATAATGAATGTAACTCTTACAAAACTCAAGTTTGCCCTATCATCCATCTCAGCATGAATGCGATATGGAAGAAGCCTGTGTTGCGACCAAGGGGTACTCGTGGTAACGGTGGTAACGCGTCGGGGCTATACGCGATACTACACTGCTCTGATTTCCCTTGGGGGTACTGATAAGACACATATGAAGTCGCAACTGCGGTCCATTCCCTCCTGAATGAGACCACCTTTTGGCAAGCAAGGCCTAGTTAAACATACTCGAAAGGTGGATACGTCTTCGAATACATTGTGATAAAATTCAACTATCAGAGCCTTTAATCACCCTATAGCAACTTTATACATCTTTTCTTCAAATATAAATAATTTTAGACACTAATTACTCGGTGTATAGTAGCATTATTGAGCTTACTTCCATTTCAAATTTAAGTGTTGGGTGAAGGGATTCGAAGGTCGGCTACACCAGAATACGACGGTGGATTCCTCTTGAGCAACTGTCGATTGGTTTTACTGGAAGGTTCATGTTGACATTGTTTCCTTCGATTCCGGTTAAAAGGTGCTAAGCTTTCGTCCGTCATATGACGAACATCATCAGAGCAAGGTAT